TCTTTGCTAGTGAGTTCAAATAAAACAACATAACCTTTCATGTTAATTCATTTGGACGTGTGGGGTCTATTCCCAATTTATTACTGTTGAGCATGTTGGAATTAATTTTTAAATTAATTATTTTTATGATAACAAAATATTTTTTTTTTGTCGCCGAATAGATGTGTTGTTTCATCCTTGAAAGGGCGTCATTTAAATCGTGAACTTACGTTTTTTTATCAATAAATAGAGAATCAGGATTTTAAGAAGAGTTTTTTCCCTATTGGTTTTTGCACATTCTTTGCATTTGCATTCTTCTACTCTAGTGCAATTGATCAGAAGTAGGTTGAGTTTGATAAGACTATTCTATGTGGAATGCCGCCATAAGAATAGAGATAATATGTTCTATCTTGAGAGACAATTGTCCATGAATCTTGGACACCATAATAAAGGCAAAACTGTCTTAAAGACATATGCTCGAATTTTTCCTTGTTGCATTTATATATTTTCGTAAAGTATGCTTTAACTCTATGTTATTGTATGTTTCAATTTCTTATGTGTATTTCATTGAAGCAATTTTTCTAACACGTACTATCCACTCTCAATGATTTTTACATCATTTTTCTAACGGAGCATAAGAGGCTCTAGATGATCATAAGAAGAAAGGTTCGAGGTGGAGTAAAGAGGATCTACAGGATCATAAGTAAAGGAAGGAAATGAAAGAAGAAAAACAACATTTGGAGTTTAGTAGAGTTGTCAAGGGAAAAGAAAGCGATGGTTGGTAAGTGGGTGTTTACATGAGCTATTATTGCTACAACTTAAGAAAGCGATGGTCGCAAAAAAAGTTTAAATTAACGCTTAAACCAATTCATAATTTAGTTGTTTTCATAACAAAGGATGAAGAAATCATGGGAATAGGTATGTGACAGGGGAGGAAGAATAAGTTTTCTTTCTAATCAATTTGAGTTGCTACGTTGTTTTAATCATCTCCGTACGTTACTACGTTGCTAACTAATATAAGAATAAATATCATTTTTGGTCCTTAACAAAAAATTTGGTCCTCACTTTAGTCCATTATAAAAAAAATAGTCACCTGGTCCCTATGAAATTTAAAGTGGACCTATTTTAGTCTTTTTGAAACTAATGTAGATCTTTTTTGAATTTGTGAGGGACCACTATTTTAATTAAATTGATCCACTATGAATTTCTTAGAAACCTCCTCGAGACTAATTTTTAGTAAGGGACTAAAATGTGGACCATATTTTTTGTTAGGGACTTAAAATGATATTTACTCCTACTATAAATATTGAATTAAGAGATAAATAATAACCTACATGACTACAAAAAAAAATTAAAATGCAAAATCTTGTGTCCGCACTTGCGGACATGTGACCCAACGTGGGTCCACCAGTATTTATATGTGTACTGTGTAATTGAAAAAAAAAAAAAAAAACCTGAATTACATTATTATCCTTTTCATTGTATAATTTGAAATCGACATTAGAATGGCTTAAAAAAAATTGAAAACATTTGTAAAAAAAAATGAATTGATTTTGGAACAATACAATAGGAAAGGACCTGGTATGAATGTAAACTATTTGTGGTTTTATGTTTACATATCGTTTATCTCTTAAGAATGTAGCAGGAGAAAATTGTTGGAGTACGATCACCAGTTCATTTTTATTTTGAAAAACCTTCGTTTTCATGTCAATTATCACATATAAATAAGGGGTTTTATAATTCTCATTTAACATGAGAATTATAATTTTCCTACTCACTCTTCGATTTCCGTGCTGACATGGGTTCTACATATAATTTTTTCTTACACATGGGTCTCACATGCTTTTTATGTCTACAACATGAGATTTCAATTCTCCTTCAACATGAGAATTATAAAACCCATAAATAAGGAGGTTTGATTTTCTCATGTTAAATGAGAATTCAATTCTCATGTTGTAGAGATAAAAAACATGTGGGACCCATGTGTTAGAAAAAATTATATGTAGGACCCATGTCAGCACGGAAATCGAAGGGTGTGTAAGAAAATTTGAATTCTCATGTTAAATGAGAATTATAAAACCCATAAATAAGTGTTTAATGTTTCTCATGGAGATAATTTCATCTCCTACATGCACATAAGAATGTGTGGGCCCATGTGAGAGTGTGAGACCATATAAGGAGAAGAGAGAAAAAAAGAAAATATAGGTCTCACACACTTTTACTTGTGTAGAAAATAAAATTATCTCGTACAACATAAAAAATATTAATCCCTATAAATAATGGGAATAATATTTTTCATGTTATGTTATAGGAGATAAATCTTATCTCCTACTTATATATAAAAGTGTATGGGGTAGGGGTTCATGTTATCTTTTTTTCTCTTTCCTCTTCACATAGCCCCAAACATTTTTATATTTGTGTGTAGGAGAAAATTGTATTTCCTATAATTTGAAAAATATTAATTCCATAAATAAATAATAGTGCCTTTTCGAAATGTTGAAACTTGAAAGTAGGGTTCACTTTTCCAATTGTAATAATTATATTTTCTTGGGAAACATTAGTAATATTTAATTGAGTACAAAAAACCCCCGGGTGTGAAGAATGCTTTGATGCACAACATTTGTTATATATTAATACACAATGAAAATTAAATTCAATTAAAAACTTAAAGAAACCCTTTTCAAAGGAAAAAATAATAATAACCTTAAATATGAACTTTAATAGTATGCCTTGGCCTTACAGCAGCCAAACAAATCCTATAATATAAAATGCAGAATTTTAAAATAAAAATAAAAAATAGTCTGTGATTAGATTAGATTTTTTAGCGAATTTCTTGCATGAGAAGTGGGTTTACAGTGGGGTGATTCATGCACGTTGTTTGGTTATTGTTGTTAAAAATCACTGTTAGATGAGTTATTGTTATTAATGGTGTTTAGTTTTACTTGGTGTGTGTCTACTGTCTGGTTTAATTTGCAAAAATGTCAAGATTCTTTTCACTGAGATTGTAGTGACACAATGTAAACAAGGAAAGGGAATTTACTTATTGCATCCTGAAAAATTAGCATAGTTGCCACAATCTCCTTTCCATTTTGCTGGTGGTGGACCAAACCCATCATCCTTGAAGCTTTTAGACTCAGGCGTGATCCCTATCTCATCAATATCATAGTTTGTGCAATTTAATTACCAAGTTCCATTTATATAATATCTCAAATTAAGTATAACAATATACAAAGAAAAAAAATGAAAAATGGGAAGAAAACTAAGATGAACCTGAATCCAAAAGAGCAACAACTATGTCACTTTCTAATTTCAATCTTCTCTTAGCAGTCAGAGGTAATCCAATGAAGTTCCATGATCTTGTTGTGTGTAGCTTGCGGTACTGATTTTGAGATACCAACAGCACTTCATCCATGGCTACAGTCACAAAAATGGGGTATAAAAAAAACAGTATATACTATTTTAACAAATATGAAGGAGATAGAGAAAGATTATTCATACCAGATAACTTGTTGGCTTCATCCTCAGACAGTTTTGCTGCAAATGCATTGAAGCTCTTTGAGTAGCTATATACCATGGATTCTTTGGCATCAAGGTAGCTGAGTAACCAAAAATCAAACTCCAAATGGCTTAGTCCAAAAGAATAAAAGAGAATGAACAAGGGAGAATTTGATTGAATCAGAGGTACATATACAGTTCAATTTTTGTGTGCCTTTGTGCTTGAAGATAAGGAAGTGTTTGTGAGTTAGTCAGGTTACCTTCCCTTCACAGCAGATAGAACATTCAAATGGGTCTCAGATGCAATGTCTCTCGTCACAGGATGAGCTCCCATGAAAACAATGTAAAAGTTCTGCAGACAAGTCAAATTGTGGTCAAGCTCATAGAGAAAACAAAAGCTCACATGTTAGAAGCCTGCTCAGATATGGAAGAAATTAAATAGATCTATAGCTAATAAGGAATGAAAAGGGAGAAGAAATCCAGTGCCTTTTGCTCAACTCCATTAACTGAAGCACTGCTCAGCAAGATCAGCAGTAATTGAAGCCAAAGAAGAGAAAAGGATTTGGTAAGATTATGTAAAAACATACTTAGTAGCGACATGCAGGCCTTTAGAGACACTTAACATGGCAAAACAAACTCTAAAAAGAAGCTTATATACCATTCAAAGAAAGAAAAGAAAAAACAAGGATAAAAAATCGTCCTTCAATTTGTTTGATTCTAACTTACAAATAATTAATTAAGGTTATGGTAGGGGAAGCTTGATTCAAACTAACATTCAGGCCTTCTGAGTCTTTCTTTGGAAGTCAATGTCACATTGGTGCCTAGGATTGGTTCTTCAAGTAAACTTATATTAACTTTTCCTCTGTCATTAAAAACTCATTTGATGCATGATGTCTACAGGTGGCTCAAAACTTGCGGCCCGTGGAGATTAATTTCTCATTTATTTATTTAATAATCTAGTATTTTTCTTTACCTTGGACTAATTTATTAGCTGTTAGTGTTAAGCAGGGAATTCATGCAGAAATCTCCAAGTTCTTTGTCATGGGGATATAAGATTGGGAAAGTGTTTTTGGCCAAACACATGCTAAGGGCTATCATGCTTGCCCAGGAAAGATGCTCTAAATTGCATGGTGATTTCTTGCTCCAATCTGTTTTAGAAGCATGTTAAATATTTATGACTTTGTTCTTAGCTAGGCTGAAATTCTGTTTGTTCCTCCTACATGATATGTCATGTATGAGGAGCAGATTTTATTGGATAACTTGTTTTAGTAAATATAAATTGTTATTAGTTTGAAGAACCAATGATAATCATTTCTGGACAATTTCTGTAATTCTTATAACAATGCAACTGTTCCTCTAGTAATGTTCTGTTTTGACAATCCAACAAATCAATATATTCATTAGAAAATGATTCATTATGAATGTAATGCTGATTATAAACTATGTATCCCAGATGGACCTAAAAATTATAACATCCTTTTTATTTGATACCTGCATTACATACAGACAACACCAGAGATCCGTAATCATATGATAAACAAAATGTCAACATTATGCAAAACAAATACTACAAAGGCAATTGCAAAGCCATGATTTAGGTCACTGCCAAATGTAACCTTATGGACTGTAGATAACAATAGGGCTCCTGACAATGTAACGTGGGCTTCTCCAAATAAGAGAACATGATACAATTTGCATGCTTGCAATAGATTTGGCTTTCACAACTACTTTGAAGCTCCTCTTCTGCAGGGTTCGAGAGAAAAATAGGCTAGTGGGCTTCACTGTGATTTCCACTCCTTTTGGTGACCTAATGGTGGCATTGTAGATGGTTGGAGCAGGACCTACATTGGTCACTCTTCTTCTAAAAACTCCTACTGTTGTGCTTTTGTTGCTTTCCAATTTAAGTTGCATGCTGGGATAGTTGATAGCATCATAGCCAAGCCCAGGAAGCAAAGAGGTGCAGTTTACAGGAGAACCAACAAATACTGATAAACTGGAATCATCGTAACCCTCATGGCATAAGAACTGGATATAAGCAAAGTCATCCATGTCATAGACCAAACCTGGACTCACAGCTTTTGTTGGGTTCAATTGACCAGAACCATAGGCAAATTCTGCTTCATTGTTAAGTCTCCTGCTCATAGGTTTGGCTTAACAAAGATAATAAACAAAGTCAGCCATCTCAAAATTCTGAAATTATGACTTATAACTTGTGGTGCAAAGCCTTCAGATTGAGCATATGATGAAAACAAATCAACTAACAAAAGTAGAAATCAGCTTTATTCTCACCTGTGGTCATAATAGCAGATCTGATTGCAGCAGGAGTCCAATCTGGATGAAATGACTTCACATATGCTGCTACTCCAGCAACATGAGGACATGCCATGGAAGTCCCAGACATTAGAGTAAATTCTGAAAATTGGTTATCTCTTTTTAAACCTGTGATTGAATTCCTAAGAGTATAAGATGCCAAGATGTCAATGCCAGGAGCTGCAACATCAGGCTGCATCAAATTGATTATAAAACACCCTCAGATCATTAAATAACAGCTTTATGGTTATTATTACAAGCAGAATAGAAAAGGACCATTAACTATTTAAGGATGAAAACTCGCAACGATTCATACCTTGAGAACATGTTGGGATCCTGGATTTGGGCCTCTAGATGAGAATGTTGCAGCAAATGGAGCTGGAATTTTTACTTCATGGCTCTTGTATATCACTGCTGATGGTGATCTTAGTTGAACAAGAAATTCATGTAAAATTGATGGTATCATATAACGTTAAGAGATTGATTTTGTAAAAAAATATTTGGTTTGATCTAGCAATAGAACAAGAAAGAGCATGTTTCTACCTTGTGGATTGGATATAATTGGTAATAATGTCACCAATGCTATTATTCACAATGGTAGCAGGAACCATGAAAATTTTAGCAACATCAGAATATTGATCACTTTCCATTATAGTACCAATGCCTCCAAGTTCATTCACAATAACTTCAGTTCCCCATCTTCGTAATTTGCAGTAAACAAGCTTTCCCTTCACTTTATTTGGCTCTAAGGACTCTATGTAGCATAATCTGTGAATGCATTAAAATTTTCTCTGTTATTGTTGAACAATTCACCACGTATTATTGACAAACAAAAGGAAAATTACCTAGCGCCTTCCTTGCTTTTCGAGTTCCTGGCAGCATCAATCCCATTGACAAGAGGGTACTGTTCTCGTTTTGGATTGAAACAACTCACTCCTACTCCCTGCATAACCTCCATAGTTGGATGTACACATCATAAATTCATCATGAAAAATTCACAACCAGCCACAGAATGTCACATTGGTTATATATAGAACCATATTTCGCTTTATATTCCTACAACTGCATTATTTGGTCTTGCATTTTTCAAAATTCTAGTCAATCTCAGGGTATACACTCAACTCTCAAGTGGATCATTCTATTATCCACAAGTTATCCACACAATCTACACCAGATTGAAATTTCAATTGTCTTCAATTCCAATTTTTACTCCCTCTTCCATGTAAATTAATCATAGTTGTATACATAAACCTTGGTTATTGAGCTGTTTGTGTATGAGAGCTACATCTGCATCCCTTGATGGGTGTAGGCACAATGGCTCAATATTTCAACAGAGTAACAGCTCATAAAAATGTGAAGAAGGGTATATTCCCTAATGATGAGAGAGAGAGAGGAGCCATAACTCCAAGTCCTCACTGTTGTGTTGAGGTAGCACACCACTACATGTCTGTGATGAGTTGTACAAAAGATTGAGACATCCTCTACAATGAGATCTATGGTTCTCACTATAGGGAGGTAGGGGAGTGATCCCTTAAGTGGGCCCCTAAGGGCGCCCATGGTTTTGCCAGTCCAGAATAGTTATGAAAAGAAAATATACTTAATAGAGAGTACTATATTGTTTTTTTGTGAATTATGGTACAAGTAACTTAATTTTTCAGAACATGTGAAAGGCAAAAGAATGAAACTTACAGAAACATTCTTTCCACTTCCCAACTGTATAGTGCTCTTGAAAGCCCTGTCAATGCCACTAGCTGCTACGGTTACAATCCATGGGGCAGTATTTGTCGCAGTTGCCATACCCGGGCCATCATTTCCAACTGAGGCCACCGTGATTATACCTTTCTTCATGGCAAAAAATGCACCAATTGATATAGAGTCATGAACATAATTAGGACTTCCTCCACCTATGGAAATGGATATAACATCCACACCATCATGTATAGCAGCATCAAATGCAGCAAGTATGTCCATGTCTGCACATGTACTGAGTGACCAGCAGACTTTATAAATAGCCAACCTAGCTGATGGCACAGCACCGCGAACAGTGCCATTGGCCAACCCAAAGAGACTTGCATTTGGGACTTCATTCCCTGCAAGTGTTGATGCAGTATGAGTGCCATGGCCATCAATATCTATGGGAGATAATATGTCAGTTGGATCAGGGATTCCATCACCCTTGAAGTATTTGGCTCCTATGATCTTGCTTCAAGTTTTCCATTGAGTGTTGCCATGCAGAATGAACAGATGAATCAGAGCTCAAGCCATGCTAACATAAAATTTGCAAATTGTATGTTCAAAAAAATGCCGATGAATAGTATCTACGACAGAACCTCCTACTTAAACTGCATTAAGATAAGACCTCCTTATTGAGTTCTCAATTATTTAATAGCAAGGGTTTCCTCTTTCGGACATTGTTTATTATACGTAAATTGTGTTATGGAAAGTAAGACCAATTTTCCTTTGCATGAACATGTTATCAATGATTGAACACAAGCAAAATAATTTTTCCAACAATTATGCAAGAAATCAAACTAAGCAACACAAAAAAACTTCAATGTGAAGAGTAAAAATCTTCACTAGCTAGAAACAAAAGTGAGATTACAAGTTTTCCAACACCTACAAACAACTAGAGTACCAAATAAGAGATATGCACACAAATACAACTTATATTCGAAATTAATTTCTACCACCTGGAAACTCAACTTAAAAATTCCCATCGGTCAGATTAGATCAGTATAAGAGAAAAAATACAATATCCAAATTTGAGGCCAATTCTATCTCCTTTGAATTTCACTGCCCATATCAGACAAGAATATTAACACCCTCTATTCTCAATTGCCCAAAACCCTCTTGGAATCCCTAATAAAAAATCCTAACGGTTAAACTTTAAAATCATATGTATTGAAACTTATGTAAAAAGTTTGAGTTTGATCCCGCCATGCATTTGAGAGGTATGCTTCTTGAGAATATTTTTCTCTCTATAATGCTAAAAAAAAAACCCTCAGAAACCAACAGAAATATCTCAGGTGTCAGCAACTAACCATGGCTGAGCCAGAAGGTTTATATATTTGTTGCCGTAACCAAGAAGAAAACTGACAGCAGAGGCTCTATTTCAGAACCTTCCCTTCCCTCATATATATCGAACAAAAATCAGAATCATATTGGTGTCAGATTAAATGGGACCAATTATGGTGTATGGTCTGATTGGTCTCAGGTGGAAAACAGTGTGAAAAGCTGGTTAATAAATTCATTGCCAATTTTATTCGGTTTCTCACGTGAAGGTAACATCGGTTGTCTTTATGGATACTATTTGCGGGCGTTTGATCGAAGGAGAAATTTTTATGAATAACAGAAAAATATTATTATTAGTAAAATAGTTGGAAAGTGAGTTTGGTAGAAAAATATAAAAAAAGTTATTTGGTTGGAAAAAATTTTATCGGAGAAATTAAGTAACTTTTATAAAGTCTATGTTTGACTTTAGGTAAAATACAGATGGAAAAAAGATTGTTATTACGAAAATAATCCTGTTTTAAATTAATGAAAAAGAAATTATTTTCTTGTTACTATAAGTCATAAATAATTGGGATATCAGTGTGGGTTACCGATTTAGCCCGCATCTTGGAGATACAGTTCCAGTGCTTATTAATTGCTGTACTAGTGCCTCAGAAAAAGATGAAGAGCTTCGTGAATACAGCTTGCAGGTGCTAAATTTGTTTATTTACAATATCCTTGTGTATATACTATACTGTCATGCATCTGCTCAATATTGACCCTAAAGAGTAAATCTTAATTAGAGATTTAATTTAAGGATTTAAATGTCATAATTAGATTCAGTGAGTGATTTCGAGTATTTTGACTGTAATCATGACTATGTTATGAACAGTGCGTTCTGCCGGAGAATTTGCAGTTTTGTGAATTAACCGGTAGAGCTTAAATGAGTAAAAGGATTTTAGAGACATAATTTGACAATTCTGACGTCAAATATGAGTTCAGAACGAAAAATTGTATAGTCTGACACTTTTCGTGAAAATCTCATGAATAGTATTTCTACCGGGTATTTTGTACTGCTGTTTAAGTAACCGGTAGAGTCCAGAAACAAATAATTGATGAAATAAGAATAAGAATGTCCAATATATGCCAAGCAAGTCAATATAGGCCCAAGAAAATGACAAGTTTATAAGTTTTAAGTTCAGAAGTAAACGAAGTACAGTTAGTGGTTCACAGTGTATTTCATCAAAAATGGTGCAAAAACCATATTGTGAATTATGAATATTGTTCCTTAGGAAATAAAAATTAATGTAAATAACTTTAGAAAAAATAAAAATATGTCCATAGCTTTGAGTTAGTTCCGGGTCAGTTTAAGTTAAAATACGCGATAGAAAAACAACCGGATTAAAAAAGGCCACATGTGCTAACCTTATAAGTCACTTAAGTGGACACTATTCACACAAAAACACTCTCTTCTCTCTCTTGCAAGGCCGATCAGCACCTTACGGAAAGGGGGGTTAGGGTTTGATTCTCCTTCTTTGATTTATCCACCATTAATACTCCAAATTCAATGACCCACCACATGAAATTGATCGGAAACCACACAATGAATCCATTTCACCACTCAATTTGAGCTATAGTTAAGTGTGTGAGGAGTTCCTCCTCCTCCATTTTTCGTGACATTATTCATCAAGGTAGAGAAATGACATTTTTGGAGGAGTTTTGCTTGGTGGTCATCTTCTAGGCTTTGGGAAGTTGATTAGAGGTAAGAAACCTTTATTTCCATAATGTTATTTTGATGATTTGAATCATAGAAATTGTGAGCATGTGTTGGGTGTGAAATAAATTAGTTTAAAAGGAAATTTGATGATGGATTTTTGATGTTTTGAATATAAGCATATAAACTAAGCATGTATACATGTGTTAAATGAAAAAGAAATTCCTTGTGTGGTACCTCCCTAGGTTCGGCCATGATGGGTCACATAGGGTTCATTGTGCAAAATCATATTTGATATATTAAGAGGGTCTAAGGTGTTGGAGTGAGTATGAATTTGGTAAATTAGTTTGAAGGCTAAAGTAGGAAAAATCCTTTGTGTCTTGATCCCTTTGATTCGGCTATGGAGAGTTGTGAGGGACTTGATGTCCAAACATTAAGTTGGAACAATATGGAAACATACATTGTATGTGTAAGTTACATGTAACTAAAAAGAAAAGAACCCTTGTCTATTTCCTTATAGTGTTCGACCTAGAGGGTGGTATAGGGGTATATGTTGTTACATTTTATTTTAATAAAATGTGTTGTAATTCAAGGTACAAAATTGATAAGTTAAGAAGTTAAATGACTTGAAAAATGGTTGAAAAATACCTTGATTTCCCTAAGGGTAGGTCCACGGCTTTTTGAAGTAAAATGGCATGATTTATGTTGAAAATTCTTAAGGGAATACTTGATTAAATTAAAGAACATCAACGGTTATATAGAGGTCTAGACTTGAGTATTGGCATAGCATTGGCAAAAACGGAAGGAAACGAAAAGAAGCGATAAAATGTATGCCTTATGTGAAATCTAGGCATGATAGCATTTTATTGATTTGTATTTGTGGATTCTTGCTCTAGGTGTACCTAGGGACTGAAAAGGATCGGAATCTCTTGAAGATATATAAGTAACTTGTGTCACAAGTAAGCAGATTGATAAAGCTTCAAGAGGTAAGCTCTATGTTTAAGGAGTCTTTTCCTGCTCGAGTGCTCCACCATAGTTAGTGGACTGTGGTTGGAATGTATGATTATTATTGTGATACTTTGTATAGATGCATTCATATAGAGTTATTTGACAACATGATATGACTTGCTCTGATATGATTTCTGTAGTGATATATGGTACACTGATGTCTTCTTGGGGTTTCCCTGAGATTGACGATGTACACCTCTGACATGCTTTGGTTCCGCTTGGGGTCCTCCCTTGGGAACACAAGCTTTCGTTCCGCTTGGGGTCCTCCCTTAGGAACACGTGCGTTGATTTCCGCTTGGGGCCCTCCCTTGGGAACACGTGCATTGATTTCCGCTTGAGGTCCTCCCTTGAGAATGACGGCGCACGCCTCTGATATGATATGAATATATGCTTTGTTCTGTTATGATATCTGTTATATGTACATTGTATACTCTGTATCTGACTTTCATGGAAGAGTGAGCCAGGGGTATGGAGAATTCTCTATAAACCTGGAGCTTATTGAGATTTGTAATCTCACCCCTCGTTGGAGCCATATTTTCAGGTGCCCAGATCCCCGGTGAGACCTCTCTAGTCAGGGACGCGACACGTGGCTGAGACATTCGACAGACCGTATTTTGAGTGGCTGTAGGCTACTACCTTTTTGGAGTATATCGATGTAGTTTATATTTCAGCTATTTTGAGGATCATGATGTTTGATCTTTCACTCTGTATATGGCCTGTATATGTTTTGTACATGTTCTTCAGTTTGATGCATGTACACTTTTGTATTCAGGCATGTTGATATGACTATGTAGTATTCAGTTATGTTTATGTATTAGATTGCATGCTGTTAGATTAGCGGCACTGAGCCAAGTCCTGCATGCGCCTATGGATGGGTATCTGATTATATTTGCATGACTGGTACTTCTGGATTGATGTGCTGTATAAACTGTTTATCAGGAAATGCTTCTGAGTGGGATTGGAAAATCCCCAGTTGTCCGATTTATAGAGGAAACTCTGCCCGATTTTCGTTTACGCCGAGTAAGAATTAAAGTGGGAAAAAGAAAATGTTAGCTCGTATTTTCGTAAGTTAAGTGTTCCGCTGTTTCTGTTTATATCATATGCATGTTAATTGAACCGGCTCGAGACGGGGATGTTACAGAAATCATGGTGTTTTTGTAATTTTAATTTATTTCAAGGTTATAGTAGTCTTTATATTTATAATTTTTTAAGATTTCAATACCAAAACGACGTCGTTTTGGGAATAAATGCAGATAACTTATCTGCATTAACGGCAAAAACATTTTTCCCTTTATATTATCTTTTTTCAAAAAGAAAATTATATTATTTTTTAATTTCTTCTTTTTTCAAAAGCAACCAACTACTGGCTAAACAAAAAAAGCAGTATTTTAACTTTTATTTTAAATTTTGCTATTTTAAAAAGGTATTATCCAAACACCTAAAAATTCTCAAAAAGACTTTTATTTTTATAAAAAAAACTTTTTTAGGAATAAAAGCACATTCAATCGGACAGTAATTATATATGTGTATTGTATTGTGTAAATGAAAATATTAAATGTCCCATAGCCGGCTCAAAGAGTCGAAGCTCGTGGGGATACCGGAGGGAGCCAACTCGTCTCAAAGAGATAATTAGGGTTGGGTAACTCCAAAAAAAAATAAAATGAAAATATTAAATCAAAATTTAATTTACCTGAATTCTATATTATTATGCTTTTCATTATATAATTTGAAATCGATATTAGATCATGGCTTTGAAAAAATTGAAAACATTTGTCAAAGAAAAACATATTGATTTTGGAACAATAGGAAAAGACCCCGATATGAATATAAACCTATTTGTGAGATTTATGTTTTCATGATCGCTTATCTCTTAAGAGTTAAGAATGTAGCAGGAGAAAATTGTTGGACTACGATCACCTTTTCATTTTTATTTGGGAAAACCTTCGTTTTCATGTCAATTATCACATATAACTAATAGTGCCTTTTCGAAATGTTGAAAGCAGGGTTCATTTCTGTAGTTGATGTTTAAATTTGTAATAATTATATTTTCTTGGGAAACATTTGTAATATTTAATTGAGTACAAAAAACCCCCCCGGGTGTGAAGAATGTTTTGATGCACAACATTTATTATATATTAATATACAATGAAAATTACATTGAATTAAAAACTTAAAGAAGCCCTTTACAATGGAAAAAAACAATAACCTAAAATATGAACTTTAATAGTATGCCTTAGCCTTACAGCAGCCAAACATATCCTATCATATAAAATGCAGAATTTTAAAATAAAAAAATAGTCTGTGATTAGATTAGATTTTAGCGAATTTCATCTTGCATGAGAAGTGGGTTTACAATGGGGTGATTCATGCATGTTGTTTGGATATTGTTGTTAAAAATCACTGTTAGATGAGTTATTGTTATTAATGGTGTTTAGTTTTACTTGGTGTGTGTCTACTGTCTGGTTTAATTTGCAAAAATGTCAAGATTCTTTTCACTGAGATTGTAGTGACACAATGTAAACAAGGAAAGGGAATTTACTTATTGCATCCTGAAAAATTAGCATAGTTGCCACAATCTCCTTTCCATTTTGCTGGTGGTGGACCAAACCCATCATCCTTGAAGCTTTTAGACTCAGGCGTGATCCCTATCTCATCAATATCACAGTTTGTGCAATTTAATTACCAAGTACCATTTATATAACATCTCAAATTAAGTATAACAATATACAAAGAAAAAAATGAAAAATGGGAAGAAAATTAAGATGAACCTGTATCCAAAAGAGCAACAACTATGTCACTTTCTAATTTCAATCTTCTCTTAGCAGTCAGAGGTAATCCAATGAAGTTCCATGATCTTGTTGTGTGTAGCTTGCGGTACTGATTTTGAAATACCAAGAGCACTTCATCCATGGCTACACTTACAAAAAAAAAAGGTTAAAAGTAACAATACATACTATTTAAACAATTATGATTTGAAGGAACTAGAGGAAAATTATCCATACCAGATAACTTGTTGGCTTCATCCTCAGACAGTTTTGCAGCAAATGCATTGAAGCTCTTTGAGTAGCTATATACCATGGATTCTTTGGCATCAAGGTAGCTAAGTAACCAAAAATCAAAATGCAAATGGCTTAATCCAAAAGAATCAAAGAGAAAGAACAAGGGAGAACTTGATTGAATGAGAGCTACATATACAGTTCATTTTTTGTGCGCCTTTGTGCTTGAAGATAAGGAAGTGTTTGTGAGTTAGTCGGGTTACCTTCCCTTCACAGCAGATAGAACATTTAAATGGGTTTCAGATGCAATATCTCTCCTCACAGGATGAGCTCCCAAGAAAACAATGTAAAAGTTCTGCAGACAAGCCAAATGGTGGTCAAGCTCATAGAGAAAACAAAAGCTCACATGTTAGAAGCCTGTTCAGATATGAAAGAAACGAAATAGATCTATAGCTAATAAGGAATGAAAAGGGAGAAGAAAACCAATGCCTTTTGCTCAACTCCATTCACTGAAGCAATGCTCAGCAAGATCAGCAGTAATTGAAACCAAAGAAGAGAGGAGAAGTTGGTAAGTTTCTGTAAAAACATATTTAGTAGTGACATGCTGGCCTTTTGAGACACTAACATGGCAAAACAAACTAAAAGGAAGCTTATATACCATTCAAAGAAAAGAAAAAAAAAAACAAGGATAAAAAATCCTCCTTCAATTTGTTTGATTCTAACTTAAAATAATTAATTAAGGTTATGGTAGGGGAAGCTTGTAAGAAAGATTACAGAATTTCTGAGTCTTTCTTTGGCTAAAGTCAATGTCACATTGGTGCCTAGGATTGGTTCTTCAAGTTAAACTTATATTAACTTTTCCTCTCTCATTAAAAACTCATTTGATGTCATGATGTCTACAGGTGGCTCATTAATTGCGGCCCATGGAGATTAATTTCTCATTTATTTAATAATCTAGTATTTTTCTTTACCTTTAACTAATTTATTAGCTGTTAGTGTTAAGTATAATGACCCTCACATTTAATTATGGATTTAATATGGAAGGGAAAATTAAAGATATCGTATTTTTGAATAGTGTCGTATACGTGAATAGTGAGAATAGTACTGTAGAGATGAACAGTACAGTATGTATGAATAGTAAAGAAAAGATTTGATAAGTAAAAAATGAAATCAATAAATGGTGTGTCAGGTTAACTACTTGTCTTTGAACCATTTTATTGATATTTGTTTGGAAAACAGTGTGAAAAGCTGATTAATAAATTCATTGCCAATTTTATTTGGTTTCTCACTTGAAGGTAACATCGGTTGTCTTTGTCACCACTCGTAAGGTATCTAGCACTGACACGAGATACGTGACACGACACAAATACTCTGACATGTTAATTCTAAAAAATATTAGATTTCGACATGCTAAGATACGTCTTGATATTAAAATAATATTTTTAATTTATGTACTGTATATTATATTTAATATTCAATAATTTAATAAAAAATGAAGTTAAACTTATAATCCAAGATATGCAAAGATTTATATTAAACTGAATAAAATGGTAATCATAATCCAACGAATCTAATAGTTAGAATTAAAAATACAACGCAACGTAACCTTTGAATCATTTTTTGAGTTTCTACAACGCTTGTCGAAATGTCGGAGTGTCGAAGAGTGTCGAGAAGTGTCGGATACGACACGTCAGGATTTTTGAAGTGTCGGTGCTTCCTAGCTCGTAAGGATAGTTACAATGGGTGGATTATCGATTCGAGAGATGGCTGATGTGCTCCGCGTAACAATGTTCATCAATCAATTCACGACGAACCGAAAAATAGATAACTGAATTAACTGAAAACCTAAAAAAAAATCCATTAATTTTAATTAAATTGGATCAATTTTAGGTTTGGTGGGTGAAAATCAATTCAATTCAAATCGATCCAATATAATTCCCCTCTACTTACTTAGATCTTTTTCCAATCATAACTCAAAAATTTAAACCCAAGACCCATTAACCTATAAGCTAAACTCAAGAAAAATATCTAAATTAGATTATCGTTTAATGATGTTTTTGTATTTCAAAAAAAAAAGTTTACAATGCTAGTTAATACAAAAAGATATGTTATTTGCACAATAATCATCAAACAAATTATAGGCTTTTCAAAAAATCAAAAATCGATCCAATCCAATCCAAACCGAAAAGAATTGCTTTTACATAATTCAGACCATGAACACCCCCTAGCTCCCGTTGTGCAGTATAACTTTCACTCGTTTCTTATCACGATTCGATTTTCACCGAATATTCTTTTTTGGAGGGACGAATTCTTTAACTATGACTAATCACCGATTCAAGATTAGTTTTATTGTAGGCTCAAGAATTAAAATTTGTAGAATATTGAAAGGTTAAGTTACCTCCAAAAAGTAATTAGAGTTGGTAAATCAAAAAAAAAGAAATAGAGTTGAAGTACTACGAGCATTTTTGGATATTCTCTTTTTTAAATTAGAAGCTACTTATAAATTATAAGTTAAAGCTAAAAAAAAAAATTAAAAACAAAAAGCTAAAAGTTGTTTGGTAATTACATAAAAATTTTAGCTTAAAATCACATATTTCAAGAAAACTATTTCTCTCTACCTCTATAGCTCTTCATTTAAAAAAAACACACAATTCAAGAAAAGCATATAAGAGGTTAAAAAAAGTTCATCTTAAGAGCTTTTAGCTTTTACCTTTTTTCTTCATTATAAAAAAAAAAAAGTTTTTCATTACAGAACTTTTCTCAAAATCTTTTTGGCCTAATTTATGTTTATAAGTAACTTCTAGCTTAAAAAAGAAAAAGAAAATCCAAACAGGCACTATATTTCTAGAAGGTGACTCTATATCTAAATCTTTTTGGGATAATGTTATCACTCCTTAGGGTGTGTTTGAGAGTTTGGAGGAAAAGAAAATAAATGAGATACAAGAGAGGGGGAAGAAAAGGAAAGGAAGAAAAATAAAGAATATATCAACATACTTCACCCTCCGTGGGAGACATTTATGTACACCAACAATACATTGTGTAAATGAAAATATTAAATCAAAATTTAATTTACCTAAATTCTATATTATTATCCTTTTCATTATATAATTTGAAATCGATATTAGATCATGGCTTTGAAAAAGTTGAAAACATTTGTCAAAGAAAAACATATTGATTTTGGAACAATAGGAAAAGACCCCAATATGAATATAAACCTATTTGTGAGTTTTATGTTTTCATGATCGTTTATCTCTTAAGAATGTAGCACGAGAAAATTGTTGGACTACGATTAGAGCTGTCAAAAAGGACCCAATGGTTGCAGCTCAGTTGGTAACTTGGTGCTGAGTTAGTGGGATTGGATATGTGTTCGATTCCCGCTGAATGCATTCTTGGGGAGGGGGCTGAACCTTTAGCCATCACTGTTCCCCCGCACTCCGGATTAGTCCCATAGCCGACTCAAAGAGTCGAAGCTCGTAGGGATACCAGAGAGAGCCAATTCGTCTCAAAGAGATAATAAGGTTAAGTAACTCAAAAAAAAAAATGTCAAAAAGGCTCACAGCCCTAGAGCTAACCCATTTGGCTCTATGAAAGTCCCATCAATTTTTCAGCCCTTTTTTAACCCATAAGGACCTTTCATGTATTGGGTTAGGTTGGGTCGTCCATGGATCAAAAGAATACAACTCATTTTCCATCAGAGTGTAAAATTTTCTCGGGAAAATAGCCTACCAAACCCTAATTTGATTGTGTTATCGTAGATTCACCGTCATCCTTCCGTGTGATACTCTCAGATCGGCTATCTAATACCCATTTCACCCAAATTCAACAAATCCTCTTCAAATTTGTGTCAGCGACGAGATGCACCGTCGCTTCTCTTCTCAGAACCTCGACTTCGCACCCTAGCAGAGATGGGTCCGATAATAGGGATGTGAGGGTTGAAATTAATCATATGATATTTTCTTCTTTTTTTTTGCTGCAGTGTTGCTTCTTGCGTTCTTAGGGCTTGTTTATACCTCTGTCAGATTAAACTTGTATTTTCATTTTTCTTCATTTTGTTAAAAAAAAAAAATGAAGTTCTGAACTGTTTTTCATTTTGTTCAACAGATTCTGGTGGAGCGTAAACCATCTGCGAGAGTTTTGACGCTAAACAGGCCTAAGCAAATGCTCTGAGTTGAGGTTTCATTTTTAATTTGTTTTTGATTGATTTTTAATTCTATCTTAGCTTTTGAACTCTAGAGTTTGAAATCCATGTAATTCCATTTTTTTTTGTATAGATTATATTCTTTTTCTTTGACTAGTTTATAGGATAAAGGTTATTTTGATGTTCACTTTGTGTGTGCGTTTTGCTTGTGCCTTCTTGTTATAGGTATCTCGGCTACTTGAAATTTTTCATGACGATGAGAGTAATTCTGATGTTAAATTGGTTATCATGAAGGTAATTTCCTTTTAGTGATCACATTTGTTTTAGTATTTTTTTTTTTAATTTTTAGATTAATGACTCTCTGTGAAGAGTCTACATAAGAAACTGCTTGCACTAGCAGCATTGAACTAAAAATGAATAAGAAACTACTACGTAAGTTCTTGAAATATAGGTATATATCTGTTTCTCATAAGAATTCCGCTCAGAAGGGCTTACCTCAAATCCTACTTGAGCCCTCTCCCCTGCATCTAGCTTCACGCTTTGAAAACCCACCAACTGTTTCATTGGATTTCCATTTCTCTGTTTACCTTGCTTCATAAACAGCAATGCTGGATGCTTAGTATGTGACAGGATTCGGGAACAGCTAAGCTTGGACAATGACATAGAACCCTGTTTTTATTTTTGAGCCTCAGCCTCCGTATAACAGCAAACATATTCAATTTGGTATTAAGACTTTGAAGCTTGATCTTCACCTTTCTTGTGCAGATTAATCTGCTTTACTTCATGTCTTATTATGAACTGTCCTTAGTAAATTAGCTGTTTATGTCTTTGAAAATATTCCCTAATACGACAGCGGAGGGAGTCATTGTCAACAAATGGGTTTTTATTTATAGTGGATTATGGACAAAACTTCATTTGTTTGGTCGGTACTTTGCTTCTTAATGCATATTATTAAAACTATTTGAGGGATCATTGCTTGTGTTATGCGTGTTCACACCATTATGATGATTCTTCTATTCGGGTGTGCATTCACACCATTACATAATTTTTTGGTGTAGGGTTGTTGGTCCTAGTAAAGAGGTTCTTATATAAACGATAGGGATGGTAGTAATAATATAACTGGTTGTTAGTGGATGCCACTAAGGTATAGTTAGGTATAAAATTAGAGGGGGGATGAATGTGCTTCAGAGAAGACCCTTAAATGGATTGAAAAGCAAAAAGGAAAAAAGAGAGTTGAAATGGCAGTGTGAATTTAAAATGGTTGTGAATTTAAAAAAAAGACCCTTAAATACATTTGGTATAAGAAACTAGATTTATTGTTCTAAGGTATAGTCGTGGCTCACGCCTCTCAACGTTTCTGTCTCTTGCTTGTTATCAATGGGCTTCATTGTTCTACTTTAATTGCTCCAAACTATCGTGCTATGGCTTTGAAGTATTATTTTTAACCCTTAAATGGATCATTCCTTCTTTTAGGTATAAGAAATGAGAAGAGTGGATCCATATATCCTGCTCATAGTCCTTACTTTTTCAATGACGAAGATGTGCTTCCCATTGGGGCTGCAATACATGCGGCATTTGCTATTTCATTCCATTCATATTCATGTTCAATAATACCATAGCAGTGTCATAGACTCATAGTCATAGACCCCCTTAGCCATCTCAGTTTCCTCTGCATTACTATAAAATCTGTTTTCATTAGTGTTCCAATAATCTATGAAAATATGCTGTCACTTTTTTTTTATGAGAAAATGTTGCTCCTTAATCTATTTTTAATGTAGGTAAGGACTTTTGACATAGACTTTTGACATACATTGCTATATCAAATATGAATTTTTTTTTAAACAAAAAAATACATATTAAATTTTTGGAAGGCCCATGGGCTAGCCCTAACCCTTAAGGCTTTTGGCCCATGTGGGCCTATATCATTATGGGCTTTTTGGCCCTAACCTATGCGGGCTAGGGCTATATGGGCCGGGCTGACCCATTTTGACAGGTCTAGATAATATCGGTGTGCTAATATTAATTAGTTGTTACAATATCTTTTCCCTTCAAAATTTTGATAAAATTATTTTGATTAAAAAAATCATAAAATCATAAATTTAAATCGGATTTTAATTACATGTTTACTATCTCACCAACATATTTTTTCCCTCTCTGCGTATAAAAACCCTAATTATCAGAAGATGTCGGGCGGTTTCTTTCAAGTAAGTTTAGCGCCACTTTAGTCGAAGCTGAGTTATCTGTAAATTTCTCAGATCTTAGGAACACTGTGTTTATTGGTTCTGCTGCTGCATTTTACTTTGCTAATGAACATTTTCGTGATGAACGTTTGTGTATAGGGTACACCTGCTGCTGATCAAGACAACCGCCAAAACCCTTAATTCCTAAATTCGTGCCAAGCGGCGAGCTTCATTCTTTCGCCGCTAGCGATGGGCTTCTTCGACCTTAACATACAGTACCCAGAATCCTCACCCGCCAACAAGGCCACCATCGAAAGCAATCGTACGAAGCTAGCCGTTAAGGCTATGGAGTTAGGTTACACCGGAATCGCTTATAACCGCACGATGAAGGGCGTTATGTCGGATCACAACCGTTGCTCCATCTCTCCCCTTACCCTCTCCTCTCTCCTCAAGGTCGTTCCCTTTCTTTCATTGTCCGCAAACCTCCACCGTAACCTCCTCGGAATCCCGTTATCCACTCCGTTCCGTCAGTACACGCGCCTCACTGTTTGCGTCGATAACCCCTCGCAGGCTCAAGCACTCAATTCTGGTAACCCGATTTTGAAGACCTACGATTTGGTGGCTGTGAAGCCTTTGAATCAGATTGCATTTGATCTGGCATGTGAGAGAATGGAGGTTCGTTAAGTTTCTTATATTATGTTCATTAAAGTTCAATTTCATATATGTTTTAAATGCTGATGTTGAGAATAATTGCAGGTATTTCGATTGATTTTTCAACGAAGTTGTCATTTAGATTGAAGCAGCCTATGGTTAAAGCAGCTATTAAGGTTTGCTCTTCAGTCTTGACTTTTAAATATTCTTAAAATTAAATAAAAAAGGAACTAAATATTAACATGTGGATTATTGACATACAGCGCGGGGTTTGTTTTGAAGTCACATACTCGGGTCTTGTTGCTGATATTCAAATCAGGAGACAGTTAATTTCCAGTGCTAAGGTAATAGCTACTTCCCTACAGTGAAAGATTTTTTTTTGTTACTTTGTTGTTTACCTTACTTTTCATGATTGCACTTTTTTTTTTGTATTGTTGCCAAGTTATCTACGGATTGCTTTTACTGAATTTTGTGGTACCAGTTTACTAGACTTACTCTCACACTCAAGCATGATATTGTTAGTTAAACTAGAGGATGTGAATGAGAGGTTTGCCATCTCGTGTCTTGGTAGACTTACTCACCAAGTGGCCCTTCATATGCAAATATGACAAGAAGTTTTATTACAATGCACATATAGAATGAGCCCATTTCCAATAGGGGTATATCATATGTTAAGCTCACATAGCAGAATTGTAGAAGAATTAAATATCTTAAGCTCCAACACCACTTGTACAATGCGTCTTTATTTTTAGTGCAATGTGCCTCTATTTATATGGTTATCATTATGATTAAGGTGAGTTGGTGACCATAACTTCTGCGTTTTGGAGTGTTATTGGTTTTAAAAGTTTTGTGGAATAATATGCCTCTGCATTTTTTATTGCCAGTCAAGAAAGATTTTGTATTTTGAATTGAATTTGTTTACTTTATAGGGTGCCTATTGGTGAAGGGGATATGTGTAGGATGCACCTTCTGTATTTATAAGCAGAGACTCAGCATAGGCTGATTAGCAATTGTGTAAGATTAAGTATGAACCTGTAAAGCATATCTAGATCTAGACAAACCTGTGCTAGGTTCTGTATGTTATTGAATCTGCATATGCTTAAATTAATAACTATAGTTGATGGTGTTAAGTTTGTTAGAATATATGAAAAATATCTCATGGTATTTAAATTATATATTAAGAGTAATTTAGAGCATCTTAATTATTTCTTAGGATTGGATTCCATTTATTTCACAATTTGTTTCCTTAATTAATTAAGATTCAGAGTTTTCTATTAGTATAAATAGAGATTAGTGCCTTGTCTTTTGTATCACATCATAAGATTCATAACACATCCCCACAACATCAATATCAACTTCAGAGTATTAGATCTTCATTCTCTCCTTTTCCTCCCTCTATACCTAAAATCTTATAATTTCATCAAAGCTAAAAGCAAGTATGAATGTGTCAAGAGCTAATGGGAGGTAAAGAGATTCATTGTGGATGGAAAGGAACTGATTAGTTCCTGTCGATACTGTTTAAACAATATAAAAAACCTGAAATCACAAGATCTTTCCACAAAGAATTTGTTTTGGTTCACTTTACCTTTTCTGAAACTATTCTCATTACTCTGTTTCTGGGTTCTACTTTCCTAATAGAGATGGATCTTATGATCCTCATTTCTATCGTTAGACCCTCCTTTGATTATAGGTAAGATACATGATTTTGACAATTACAGCACACTATTCAGACATGCACAAACTTACATATTGGTTAAACATGTAGTTGTTGATGGATTGGACACGGGGACAAAACATTGTATTTTCAAGTGGTGCTCCTTCAGTGAATGAACTTAGAGGGCCTTGTGATGTTGCAAACTTGTTGTCATTATTGGGGCTCTCCAAGGAGCGAGCTAAAGCAGCTATTTCTAAAAACTGTAGGTATGGAACTTGCTAAAATCCTTTATTGTGTTTGGTTTTTCGGGGCCAATGTTTGAGATGTCTTGAATATCATTCCGAATGGTTTACAGGATTCTTTTAGCCAATTCTTTAAGGAAAAAGCGATTTTACAAAGAGGCAATAAGAGTAGAAGTTTTATCATCAGATGCATCTCATTTTAAGGAAGCCTGGCATCAAGAGCTACTAAAGTGGGATGCTATCTCCAGTGGTGAAGGTGATATCCTGTTGGATGACATGACAAAAACCTTTTCAGCGTCCGGTAAAGCATCAAAAACTGCAAAAGCCATTGACTTTGTTTCAGTGATTGACAGCCTTCCGTCTCATGGTTTTCAAGTCAAGGATTCCTTATCTGCAAATAATGCTTTCCCTGTTTTCCCAGATAATAAGGTAAACTTCCTGCCTGTTGTGGAAAAAGTAAATCAGTCAACACCTGTAGCTAAGAACTTAACCAAGCAGTGCAACAGGCTTGATATTTGTCCTGAGAAAGATAAAAGTTCATTATCTGGTGCTATAGCAACACATCGCACTGTGAGCTGTGACAATTTTTTTGAGAAAAATATACCTAGTGGAACTACTAAAGCTTACAATTATAAGGATTGCGCCCCTATTGAAGTGAAAGCACTTGATTCACAATCAGACTTGTGCATCTCAGGTAATGCATTGGATACTGTAAAACCCCATGAGTTTGAGAAACTACAAAGATCTTCAGAAGATGCCAAACTAGATGATAGGCATAATATTGATCATAAAGTAGAAATCTTCACGCCATCTGTGGAGATTACTTTTCCTGCCCTTGTACATGATAAACATAATAATGAGAAAAGATCTGATGTCAATTTAAATGCACAAATTGGCAAGACGCTTGAAGCTTTGCCAAAGGAAAATTTAAAAATTGCAGAGCCTGCAGTCTTGGAGAAAAACACACCTATTTTGGAAACTTCAATGGAGGATGAACAATTTGACAAACGGGAAGCTGATACAGTTGAACTTGGCAAAGGAAGCTTCGCCAAAGAGCATGAAGCTTTGCCAATGGATGATTTAAAAATTTCAAATCATACAGTCTTGGAGATAAACACATCTATTTCTGAAACTTCAATGGAGGATGAACAATTCGACAAACAGAAAACTGATACAGTTGAACTTGATGAGATGCCACAGCAAGCATATGATGAGATGAAAATGGAAGATGATTCCACGGCTGCAATGCATTTATTGCCAGACGTTATGATGGAAGATAAAAAGTTTGATGAAGTGAGATCTGATTATGATCAATTTGCTTCAGTTCACTCTGTATCAGGTACCCCATCCGTTGACTAATATCTTTATTTGGTTATTGAAAGCTATATGTTATTTTTGGCCCTTCCCCTCCCAGAAGCTCATGCAGTTTGTCTAGAATTAATCCCTTCTATCATAAGTGAATCGATCAATATGGTTGATTGCACTTCATTTTGTAATTGTGTCATTACTCGTAACTTCCCCTACTTATTATCTACTTCTTGCATGTTTCCATTTTAATTGTGACGTAAATATGACTGAGTACATTTCCATTATCTCTAGGTCGATTGAGAGTGAAGCGAAGAACACCTCGTGGACCACTTCTATTGCCCTTCAAGCGATTGTTGAATCCAAAGCCCTTTAAGAAGAAAGGTAAAAAAACTAAGAGCAGAACTAATTACTTGACATAGAGGTGATTTAGTTCTTTTTTATTTTTGGTGAAAGATGTAAGCTAATTCTTTATAATATCTATCAATACTAGCATATTGACCGGCATTACGTGCTTGTCAATTCAAATTTTGTATTTTTTGTTAAGATAAAAAAATTAATAAAATTGCGTTTGATGTGAATTATGACTATATATTGGAGAAGTTGAGATGTGTTTGAAACCAACTATAATCAGTAAGTAACAAATGTTTACAACTCCGTTCCTTTTATGTTTATGTTTAAATGAGTGATTACCAAAAAAAAAAAAAATCTTTAAACGAGTAATAAGATTCTTTTAAAGTTTTATCCTGTTTATATTATTCTTTAAATAAATTACATGAGTAATTAATAATGGTAGTTTTGGAAAAGTAAAAATTTAACCCCAAAGGTGGAATATAGATATTGTAGAGAGTGGATGCTGAACGGTTTGAATCTGCTGCTTTTGGTCTTCTCGTACGAATACGATGGTTGATGTTGGTGGAAATGGTCACGTATTCCTTCGACTTGAGAGTGGTCATTTTTGGCAGAATGAAATGAGTAGTAGTAACTTTTTTTAATGTATTTACCATCAATATTTATAATTTATATTATTTTAATGTACCAATTTTAAACACAAGAAGTAAAATGAAATATATTTCATTTTTGAGTGAATTGTGAGTTGTTTAGCAGCGACTTGGAAGTCATTTTAATTCCCACTTTACGTGAAGGAAATCAGAATAAACTTTCTGGCGAAATTTGGTGCTTCCAAGGTAGTTAAAATTGAGATTTTATATAAAATTAGGAGGATAAAAAATCGTAAAACGTAAAATTATAATATAAATAAAATCATAAAAACGTAAAAGCGTTTGAAATTTTGATAAAATGATTTTGATGAAAAAATAAATAATAAAAATATAAAAGCCTAATGATAAATGAAAATTTTAACTACCATGGGTGCTTCTGGTGATGACATTAATAATTTCAGCCTCTAGTTGGTTGCTTTTAACAATTTAGTGCGTTTTGGTAAGCAATTATAAATTTAATTTGGGAAAATATTGATTTTGTAAAATTAACTTTGCTTAAAAGCGAATTTGAAGGGAAGAGATGTATGTTTTGAAATTTTTATTTCAATGGTAAACCAGTAAAAAGCTTAGTATAAAATTTTCAATCCAACGCAAGTTATATTTACTTTATTCATTGGTTAAAAACAAGTAATATAATTTTTCTCTGATAAATTAGGTTACATGCCACCAAAGGAAACATTTGAATGGGTGTCTCTGCTGCAGAACTAAACGGAGCATTAATGCTTTATGTTTTAGTCTCACTCATTAACTTTTATTATTACATAAAAATTGATTGTCTGTATCGAACGTAACCACTATATCACCCTCATATAGATGATGCCAGAATTTCAAGGCATTTTCACAATGTTCAATTGCTTAGCCATATCAAATAGTTCCCATGTGTTTTTGGACTATATCAAGAGAGTAATATTATGGCTGCTGATTGATGGATGAACTCAATTTTCAACTAGATCCTCGTATTCATATTCACGATCATCCTTTGCCATGCGATTCTCATGTAATCTTTTACTATAATTAACGGAGTTGCTATCAATAGTGGGTCTCTTCATTTTGAACTGGTGAAAAGGGGAGGCTGCTCCTAGTGCACTTGCAAACCGGTATTGCTCGCCATGTGTTGTTAATATATTTTGATTATTACTATATAATGTAAAGAACCTTGAGATACACTACTCCAAAAGCTAGCTCAAAGGGTGGGAGTGCCCAAGGTCTTATAAACTCCACATTAGTTGCACATACAACCAATGTGGGACTATATATCTCAACACGCCCCCTCACACAAGAGCCATTGGGCTTGAAGAGTGGACAATGCAACAGGCCCAGCCTACCTGTGCTAAGAAACGCCACAAAAGAAAGCGGGGGCGGCGAGGCTCTGATACCATGTAAATAGTAATTATGTAGTCATTTATTAGTAATTATGTAGTCATTTATTTGTATTTATTTAGTCCGTTACTTGTATATTGGGCCAAGCTCATTAGGTCAAAATTAGGTCAAGAAGTCTCTATAATAGAGACCCCTATGTACAGATTCAAAAACAATTCAATAATATTTCAAATACCCTTTTCTTTCAAGTCGGTATCAGAGCCTCGCCGCCCCCCGCTTTCTTTTGTGGCGTTTCTTAGCACAGGTAGGCTGGGCCTGTTGCATTATCCACTTTTCAAGCCCAATGGGCTCTTGTGTGAGGGGGCGTGTTGAGATATATAGTCCCACATTGGTTGTATGTGCAACTAATGTGGAGTTTATAAGACCTTGTGCACTCCCACCCTTTGAGCTAGCTTTTGGAGTGGTGTATCTCAAGGTTCTTTACATGGTATCAGAGCTCTCGATCCAGAGGGCTCTGCTTCCGCAATTACCTCCATTAAAACAGAAACCTTCTTTCTTAGCCTCTTTCCGCCATTAGCCGCCACCGGAAAATTTTTCCGGCGGACCTTTTGGACCAAGAGGACCAGTTTTCAAATCATTTTTCTCTGATCTATCAGCTTACGGACGTGTTATAATCATTTGACGACCGGATCTTCCCAAAACAACACAAGGCCACTACTGTTCATCGCATTTTGGACACTTTTCCGGCGACCTTTCAACTCCGACCGGCCACAGAAAGGTTCGAGACCGTCGGACGACCTCGCCGCAGAAATTTCAGCTCCGGCGGCCGCGGCACGCGCTCTCACGCGCGGCCCCACTCCCGGCAAGTGAGGACCACTCGCAGACACCTCCACCGCGCGTGGAGGCGCGTGGGACACTTTTTCCAGCTCCGGCCAAAAAGTTTTCTGATCTTCTCCTCATCCTCTTTCTGGATCTGTGCTCCTCTCTTTGATCGGACATCGTTTGGTATTTATTTGTGATTTTTTGGCTTCTTGGAGCTTTTCTTTAACCATTTTCTGTGCAGTATGGCCTCTTCTCAAAGGAGTTCTTTTTTAAAATTTTATGATGGTACCTCTTCTAGACCTAAGAGAGATGACCGATGATGTTCTTATTGTAAAAGAATAGGCCATATCAAGGATTTATGCTTTCGCCTTTATGGAAAGCAAACTGTCTTAGAAAAGATGGCAAGGATGCGTGGTCAAGCGCATTTTACTTCTTCTGAAATAACCCCTGCACCTAATGAGACCCAATCTGCATTTCGTCCAGATGAGTTGGAACGACTCCGAACCATTCTTGATTATCTGAGTAAGCCATCTGATACTAGTGCTTTGGCTATGACTGGTATGAGCTCCAAAACTCATTCTTTCATTTCTTCATGTAATGATTTTAAACATTCTTGGGTTGTTGATTCTGGTGCTACTAATCATATGGCTTGTTGTGCTGACTCCTTTATTTCTTATCATCCTACCATTGGAACTCATACAATATCCATAGTTGATGGCTCACATACATCAGTTGCGGGTTCTGGTGACATAAACTTACAACAGTCCTTACATCTTAAGGATGTTCTTCATGTTCCTAAACTCTCCACGAATCTTCTTTCTATTCACAAAATTACAAAAGATTTGAATTGTACTGTAACCTTCTTCCCTACCCATTGTGTTTTCAGGATCTCGCCACGGGGAAGACGATTGGTAGTGTTAAAGAGCAAGGTGGGCTGTACTATCTGGTGTCACAATCTCCCACAAATAAAGTAACAGATCACACCTTCATGTCTCATGGTCAATCAACTGCTGATTCTTTAATTTGGCTGCATCATAAGCGTTTGGGTCATCCTCCATTTAGTTTACTCAAATCTTTATTTCCGTCATTGTTTTTGTCTAAGTCTGTTGAGTCTTTTCATTGTGATGTTTGTGAATTTGCTAAGCATCATCGAGTGTCTTTTCCTTCTAGTATTACTAAGAGTGTTGAACCTTTTGATCTTATTCATTCTGATGTTTGGGGTCCTTCTAAGGTCCCTCATTCTTCTGGAAATAAATGGTTTGTTTCTTTTATTGATGATTGCACTCGTGTAACTTGGGTTTACTTAATGCGTGAAAAGTCTGAGGTACCACAACTGTTCTTTCAATTTTATAAAATGATTGAGACTCAATTTTGTAAAAAAATCAAAAGACTAAGGACAGATAATGGTACTGAATATGTCAATCACTCTTTTTCCCAATTTATACAAAATCAAGGTATGATTCACGAACTTACTTGTGTAGACACCCCTCAACAAAATGGGGTTGCTGAAAGGAAAAATCGTCACCTTCTTGAAGTTGCTCGTGCCTTACTGTTTCAAACACATATACCCAAATGCTATTGGGGAGATGCCATTCTTACTGCAGCGTTCTTGATCAATCGTCTATCCACTCGGGTTCTCGATCGTGTAAGTCCTATTCACTCCATGACTTCTTTTTTTCCTTCTGTTCCAACTTTGCAAAGTCTTCCTCCTCGAGTGTTTGGGTGTGTTGTCTTTGTTCATATTCATAAACAGCATCGCAGTAAGTTGGATCCTAGGGCTCTTAAATGTGTCTTACTTGGATATGCTCCTGATAAGAAGGGCTATAAGTGCTATCACCCTGGAAGTCGGAAATTTTTTGTTTCTATGGATGTTACATTTCAGGAATCTGAGTCCTTTTTCCAAGGTCCTCATCTTCAGGGGGAGAATAATTCACCAGAAGACTCATCACCTTCCTTCTTTGAAACTTCGGTGTCTACTCCTTCACCTGTGTCAGTGTATCCTCCTCTTGTGTCTGTTCCTCCTGTGTCTGATCCTCTTGTGAGTAATCCTCCTGTGACTGATTCTCCTGTGATTGATACATCAAGTACACCAGAGATACGGAAGGTTATGACACCTGAAAGAAGGAAACAACCCACATTGTCTCAGCAGCAACCTCAATCGTCTGAACCAGTGGTAAGTCCTGAATCTCATATTTCTGATCATGATGTTAATACTTCTGATGACTTACCCATTACTACTGATTCTCATGATTTACCCATTGCTCTTAGAATAGTAAAAAGAGCTTGTCCCAAGAAATCTTGTCCCTCATGTCCCTCTTGTACTCAATACCCTATCTCCCATTTTGTTTCCTCTGCTAATCTGTCTGTGCAGCACAAAAGTTTTGTTTCAGCACTAGACTCTATTGCAATCCCAAAATCA